GCTGCTGCTGCTGCTACTGCTGTTGTTGTATACAAGTCCATTGCTAACCCGCCCTGCTGTGATACTTTCTTTCAATCGGATAACGATGTGCTTCCTAATAAGAAGGTAAACAATGTGTTTCCTGGTACTAGTACTGTAGATAATTCCGTTTAAATGACTGTCCATCTAGCTCGAGAATATTTCCCGTTTCCAGACCCATCGGATCCGATTCGCAATAAACGCTCCGCGCTTAGAACATGCTCGCGGTGAGGAGGGCAATTACTGAATTAGACGTCATTCTACCAATGTGACAGTTACATTGTAGATAACGCATAGTGCCAGCTATCTGAAGGTTGCCTTAGCCTTGCTAGGTGGATGACACGCAGCGTTACAACTTACGACCATAATCATGATAATTTAACTGGTTGTCAACGTTCTCTTCTGCCTTTGTGTGAATGACGTACATTGTTCTGTTGCAGTGTACAGTCTAGCAAACCAATGCTGTTCCTGGAGCAGTCATGGTTTTACCACTGTTCCGTCGTACACATGTCGGCGATTAGTCGTTATGGTATGAGAGTGTAGTCAGGATTTCCACGCACTGATGTGTAGCCAAGCAGCTAGCGAGTGTTCCTCATTCGATACAACCATTCACCTGCCAGTTTAAGCTATTGACAGCAGCACAGTAGATAACAACAAGGCCAATCGGGACATTCTGCTTATGACTAATTAGCTGGCACTAGTACTAGTAGTAGCGTCATACTGCGTATACCTTGCCTTCGTTTACCATGCCTTTTGTGAAGAAAGCTCCTGCGTTCTTCAGCACCATGACCAGAGCCCTGAGCATGTGCTGAAGGGAAGGTGATGATAGTGTCATATACAGTTCTACCCAACTGACACTGACACGTGTAATGGTCAGCTCTGCGTCCTTTTTTATTTTTTTATTTTTTTTATTTTATGAAAGTGCACATGCCTACATATAGAATGGAAGAGAAAAACAACAACAACATCAAGAGAACATAGGGGACTACAATGGGCGTGTAGGTGCTATTGAGCTGTGCCGGTGAGGTGAAGTGCGCTCCCCCGACCAATGGTCTCGGGATCAAGGCGCACATCACGCACCTATACTATGCCTATCTGTATCTTATCTGTATGCGGCCAACTCTGAGACACCATCATCCTAGATACCCACACAACAAGCCATGTGTGAGGCACGAATGAGATGGTACTGTTAATTAATGAGTCTTGCCTCGCGATTCCCCTCATCGCACACTCGCTCTGGGGCATGCTAAAGCTGGAAGGTTCGAAGAAGGTCACACTTAATGTCATGTTACAGGCATATTGACATTCTTCGGCCGAAATCAAGCATGTCTTCCGCAGCCGCCTCGGCCACTCTTTCAACACGATGCAACCTACTACCGGCATGTACGCAACAGGAACGCGCTGTGCCCCGCATTTGAACACATCCCCATGGGGTCCTTCCCGCGTCAGTGCACCGCACAGGGACTAGTTGATGTCCTACCTGCTCACCATCGACACGTATCGTGTCACAATCGAGGAGAAATTCGTGTAGGACAGGTTGGCGACAACCTCCAATGATGTTCACAACTGCCTTTGTTGCAGGGAAGATCAGGTGCCACTGCGGCTCATTCCTCTTCTGGAAGGAGTTGTGAACAAGGAAACAGGTTGACGAGCTTCAACCATGTTCAAGCATGTAGCCAGGAGCTACGCCTAATCGCATCGCGCCTTTACAATGATACGGTATAACAACCAAGATTTCTAATTATGTGTTCACATTCGGCGGCGTGTGATCTTACAGTGCAGGCTCCCAGCTCCTGTCACTAGAGTGTAGTTTCAAACAGCGCAGTATTTGCACCTTATGTGTGTCGCACTTCACCCTTTTGATTATGACCGCGGTATTGGCAACTTTACACTGGAAGCCCGAATTCCGTGTATTACCTGAAATTAGATATCGGGACATTCAATATGTTCACATAATAGATGCGCCACCTCTTTATATCAGTCGTCGATTGAACGAATACATTCATTGCCTTGTAAGCCATCATTTCAAACATCGTCCTTATCTGCAACCATCTTGTCCGCCACCTTTCCAGCCGTAAGAGCAATTAATCACAACAGGCTTGCGCGTGTTACTCGAATTGCCAAGCATATTGATAACTCAGTTCGTTACACGCATGGTACATAGACTCATATCGCTGCAGTGTTGGTACTACCGCATCACCAGCTCATGTCCACCGTATCACCACCGCGTTCCTACACTATCCTACAAGACCGGCGGAGGACAACAAGTGTATTCTCGTCATCTTGCAGCAAGCTTGTAACACAACTGCTGTGACCAAAATGGCCGGCTCGATTCTCCTCGATTAAAGGCGGTGGTAAGGGCTGGAGGCGCTGTGAGGTGCGAATCTCTTCACAATCGCTACAAGCACTGAATTGACCGAGCATAAGAGTCGCCTCCAATGCCTGTAGTGTGTGCAGCACTTGATTGCATGTAGGCTGGTTGTAGTGCTAGTTGAGCGGAAGCATGGCTACTTCCTGGACTGACAAGGTGACATTTTCTCGCAGAACTAGATAGGCTAGAGTAGAGAAGTGTTTGCCTGCCACATGATCTGTACGACCATCCGTGTTAGAGACTTCCGCTGTACATAATAATGTTGCTCAAGGGTGCATTCTTCTCTCACTCTCTCTCCCCCCTCCCCATGCATACACACACACGCACACACACACACACACACACACACACACACACACACACACACACACACACACACACACACACACAGTCACAGGGGCCGAAGATAATCCGTCTCGCCCTTTTCTTCTTGTGCGTGCTACATGGTCAGTCATGTTCTGTTCCTTTGCGTCTCGCATGCACTCTTCGTCGCATGCACTCTTCGTCGCATGCACTCTTCGTCGCATGCACTCTTCGTCGCATGCACTCTTCGTCGCATGCACTCTTCAGGGGTTCATCGGTTCATGGGAAAGGGTTGCATGAATGATGCTACATACATGTACATACATGTACATACAAAAAGTCATGTACCTTTCGGTGCCGGAATTGTCCATATTTGCTTAGGTGTGACCTTCACGTCGTAGAAGTACATGTACATAGTAAGTCGTCAAATTATTGCTGGACTTAATGTGCTTAGAAGGGGACAGGATTGAACATAACCATTAGGCTTCATCGGTATAGTGGCTGACATCAATATGAATTGAAGTTTCCCCGACTGATCCTTTGAATGCTTGAATACTAGTATTATTATTTTACCAAATTTACGCATACTTATGACAGATGAGATTCAGGTGAATGAGATGCTTTGTTGAGAACCGTCGTAAATAATAATTCGGCGGAAAATGGAGTTCGTTCCTCGACACCCGGTCTTGTGACATACATTCTGTATAATTATGTTTGCGCATGTGTGTGCCCGTTCGTACATGTACGTGTACATGTAGGATAAACAATCGGTATCTGTGTACCGGTACGTGTGACAATGTCAAAGCGAATAAGCGTCATAAAACACCCAAGGGCTACAGTGCGTCATACGTTTCGTCACACACGTTAACCGTGCTATCCGTCATCATGGTGCTGTCTTTTCAAAAGCACGTACATACTGCAGTACTGGTACTGGTTACTGGTTACTGGTTTATGTTGAATGCTCCTTGATTTAAACCATGCTCAAGTTTACAAATCTTGCCACCAGCAGCCCATCACTTGACCCATTATGTATCTAGAAAAGACATTGGTAGCGCCAGAGGCAAGGCTTCATCGGGGCGAGTCTCGGAGCGTGGTGCGTCTTTGCGCTGGACGATGTATGCAGGGAAAGAGGGGAGGGGGCACAGCTGCAAGAGTGACTACTTCACTCAGAGCACTGAAGCAGTGTCTAGTGTAGAACTTTTGTTTGACTGTTTGTCCTGGAAAGACAATAATGTGTGTGAAGCGTCACCTGGATTAGCAGGAAGAGTCTAGCAATACCGTGACATTTAGTTGCTCGGCAGCTCTACCTCAGTGTGAATGCCCTTGGCCACACTGCTGTCTGCACTGTGCAAGGTGCATGTCAATCAAGGCCAGTATGGACAGGGCACAATGCTGCAATGCAAGTATCACGTGAGTGGAAATGTCGAAAAATATTAGCTTTTTGACTGATGGTCCACGAGTGCACTCCACTCCCAGGGTCGTGCGTAAAGTTTTCGCAGTCAGAATGTCCTCCTCTGCGAGACCACATGCCACATGGGCAGTATAATGACAGTTTGGGAATGGTGCATTGAACCATTTGCGTACGTAGCACGAAGAAGTCGGTGGCTTCGTACCCTGAGTGCGCGAACAAATACCATAGGAAACCCGATAGCAAAGGTACACCTTGCCTATCTGCGGGTATCGCGAGGGTAAGACCTGCACTTGGTCAACTCAAAACCCCATCCGAAGTTAGTTCTCATCGCTATCACAGACTGTCAGAGCATTGGCCAGACTAGAGTGTTCGCCAGCCAACTCAATATATCCCGCAAACCAGGCATGCACTGATCCGCTGTCAGACTGGATGTCAATTCTACAGCAACTTGCGAGGTTATCTGGAGAACATCAGGACAGCGAGCTAGCCCATGAAACTCATTTACACCGCAGGCGGACGTACTGAGGATGGACGCGACGGGATAAAGTATTTCTAGAGACTGTGCACTGAAAATGTATTCATACGTGGACACGTTGCCAGCCTACCCCTGTTAGCCTTGCTAATGTTGTTTCGTTTGTGATTTCATGCAAAGAAGAGAGCTGGCAGAGTGAGACTGACAGAAAGGAGTAATATCAATGTATCAGCAATGAGAACTGCTGCTGCTGCTGCTGCTGCTGCTGCTGCTGCTGCTGTTAGTCACTGTTGTAGTGGCGCTTCCGCTTAGCGAGTACACGGTCGAGTCGATGAGACCGGCTCACTCCTTACTACTTTCATACCTTGACCACCACCACCACCACCAGTGCACCACCTCTACCACCTCTACCACCTCTACCACGGGCTCTACCACCTCTACCACTACCTCCAGTAGTACTACTACAGTTACGTGCGGTACCGCTAATAATACCGCTCCAGGTTGTAATAGTGCGAGTGTAAGGTAGAATCTACGACTCGTTGATTCCTGTCACTGCCAGCACTAGCAGCAGAAGCACCAGTAGAGGTACGACGGCATCACACTGCACGTAAGGTTATGTGTAGCATAGTGCAAGTAGTGTATGCCATTAAGGGTATTGCCCTGGAGAAAGAGGGCCTTTGACTGACCGTTTCCGCTGCGCTACCGCTACCGAAGACGTTGGCTGAAGCACGGCGAGGAACCTATTAAACGAGCAGCTAGTTCAGCAAACTGCTACTCATCACACTGTTTGTCTCAATGATCATTTTCTAGTTGACAATGCTGCTATTCCTGCTAGTACAGGGCTCCTGATGGTTGTGGTGCGTGTCCTCTAGTGTTTCCTAGTGTTGGTGTGGACGCTGCCAGTGACTGCTACCCGTGTTGCTATTGATCGGAGGTACTAGGGGAAAGGCGTGGCTCCTTCCATCCAAGCGCTCGCGAGGCCTTTAGATCGGTTCAGTGTGGTTTTCGGTGGTGTCGTTCCGACATCTTACACAGTACAAGTACATGCTACATGCTACAGCACTACATCATGCTGGTGTCTGGCTAAGAGCCCAACATGCCTGTCCTCTCAGTGGCGACTCACTGTGCTTCCAAACAAGCAAGCGGTATACACCATGGAAGACCCATCTCGATCATCAGCACAGTGAGTACATTCAAATGACTAGCAGTGGCAAATCTACCGGTGACAAGCTTTAGGCGTTTTGACGTTGTGTAATTGAAGAAGGGTCTCCCTACGCCGCTGCTTTGGGCTTCGTTTGGAACGAGCTTCTTCTTGATCATTGTCAAGAGGGACCAGAGGGCCCAGGTTCATTGCAAGGCTATCCTTGTTTCAACCATCAGGATAAGTTGCATCAGGAGCCTGTACGACTCCTAGACTGCAGACTGCAGACCAGGCGTGACAGAGAAGCGTGTAAAGTAACACACAAGATATTGTATTGTAGTCTGGACCAGTGGCGAGCCAGTGGAGAGCCACATTGCCGACCACGAGCACTACAGGTGCCAACAGCAGCCCAGCTCATGCCGGACAACACGTCGACTTCTTCACTGACTTGAGCCGGACATCAGCAACTAGGTAAGACAATATGATTCGGGTGACATTGCCATGAAACATGATCTACGACCATCATAGTTCACTTAGTCTGTGTACAGTCATGCTCATGACGGGTTCAGTCTGGCAAACAAAGGCGATTGCGTAAATGTAACAATAGAAGACGTTTTTTTGCTTCACACCATCAACATAGAGACACCACCTACGACTACATACTAGTAGTACATAGTATTACTATTAGTATTGGGACGTTTTCGGGAAGAATTAATCACGGGCATGGTTCCAGCAAAGCCACGAAGCTGGAGCCAACGTCCGTACGCAGAATCAGTTATTTTTGTCTGGTGTTGACAGTATGATATTTTCGTGGTGAGCGCTCATGTCCGCGTCACTGGCATCTCTGCCCTGCCTGGACAGGCATTGACTGCAATACCGTCATACTGACAGCTAGTGTCAGTAGTGGTGAGATTGACAGCACTGTGTTGTCTGCCCTGGAATGGATGGTTGGATGGTTGGAGCGACAGATTGCGACATGACAGTCAGTCAGTCACAAGGTCAGCACAGAGCATAGCCAGCATACCCTACCCTTCCCTAGGCTAGATCATGGTCAATGCGCATATGCAGACTCAGATACTTGACCATGGTTAGTAATAGTAGTACAGTGTTCATGTACTCAGTGCAGACTGTGTACATGAAGTGATCTATCCTAGTAGATTGCAGTAGTACTACAGACAGTACAGAGTCTAATGGCATCCCTGTGCCCGCGGGACCCTTGCCCTGGCCTGAGTCTGAACTGTGTGGAGTGGGGAGTGTGGGGACAACGAAGATGACATGTCACTTTACAACCTTCTGGTTTGTCTGGTCAATGGTCATTGCCCACAAAACCTCGTGAATGTTTACACACTACGTCTTAGTACGTGTTCAGCTACAGTACATGATGGCATTATGCCTTGGTGGATGAAAGTCATTGGTTTACCTTTCCATGCTCTTCTAGAGAGATCTACACCTAACAGATACTTCAAACGTATGTGCGCGTCACATGTAGACTCTACTTGGCAGCGAGATTAGTCTGTCAGTTTGGCACAATGGTTAAACAAAATGGCTGCCATTGTCAGTCCAAACCCTAGCAAATAAAAGCCAGAATGCAATGGTCGTAACTGACCTTCACGGGGCACTTCTTTTTCAAACATTCCCTAACATGTATGCTCCTCTCTCTCTCTCTCTCTCTCTCTCTCTCTCTCTCTCTCTCTCTCTCTCTCTCTCTCTCTCTCTCTCTCTCTCTCTCTCTCTCTCTCTCTCTCTCTCTCTCTCTCTCTCTCTCTCTCTCTCTCTCTCTCTCTCTCTCTCGCTCTCTCTCTCTCGCTCTCTCTCTCTCTCTCTCTCTCTCTCTCTCTCTCTCTCTCTCGCTCTCTCTCTCTCTCTAAAATTGTACTGTAGGATAGACATGTAATCTAAAAAATATGACTGTTCCACTGGGCTGTTTGTAGTCTCTCTGCAAGAAAAGGTACAGCATAGTATGTAGCTGGAGGTGCATATCATCAAGTGCACGCTCACACAGTCAGTGTCAGCGCACTAGCTTGAAGCCCGGCGACGTATCGGTACGTGTCCATTCTTGCGATGGACCCTGCCAATGTTCCATTGTGCTTCTTTGTGTTCGGGTAACTCAATGCCTTCCCTAACACCGTCACGGTATGCGCGTGTACGTATGCCGGTCTGCCATGTGCATGCTAGCAATAGCGCCTGCCACACCACTGGGAAACTGGGACACTGTGAAACAGACACAGTGATAATTATGAAGACGCAGAACCATTACAATCACACTATGACACGGGTACACACACATACATGCGCAAATAATTATATGCATGTGCATGAGGTCTTGTGCGGACTGTGTATTACTATTAGTGTATGGCCAATGGTGCCAGTCCCTCTCTCTCTCCGAGAAGTAGCCGTGAATACCATTACTCGTAAGTTATGCTACTATACCTACCATAAGGTGTTGCTGGTGCTGATATTCATCATGAACTCCCTTCATGCCAGTTCTTGTGATGTGTTAGCACCTCCGAAGCGGAATCGCTTGACGTGGGAAGCCCTTGGTTACGGAACACACCAGAAGCGGAACTCCATTTGAGCAGTGCACCGAAATGTAATTGCCACATGGCACACCAGTGATGGGCGACATAATCACGCCACGGAATTCCTCAGTAGAACTAAGAACTAAGCATTCAATATGGTGATGTATCAGTCATGTTCTGTACATGCCGGTGTGGGGGTGGGTGAAATCGCTGTGTGCATGAAGGCACTGGTTCGTGGCATTGAATATACTCTGCTCCTGCAACGATCACATCCTATGATGATGTTGATTATTGAATGGCGATGGTGGTCCAGTTTGGTCACTTTCAGACGCACCCGATGACATTACAAGGCGTCAGAGCGACTTTCTTTTCTACACAGACGTCTGATGAAGGAATGAATACTTTCTTCGGCTTCGACTATCGTCTTTCCGTTATCATCCCGTTAATCGGTATCTCACTTTGTGTTCTCATCCATCTCCCCCATCTCATCCATCTCTCTCCCCCCCCCCCCCTCACTGTGTCGCTATCTCTTCGGTGTGTCCATTTGAGGATGTCCCATGGTCGACTCATTTTATCTTGGGGACAAAAAATTACTGCCAAGGATATTATAACGTTTCAAGTGGCAGCTACATAGGAATGCTGACAGATGCTTCACTCGATCCGCTTGTACCATTATCCTGTTCGGTGCCACTGACCTCTAACCACAAGTAGCACCCGAGGCGAGGACATGGACCACTCAAGTTTGGATTTCACACCACCTATGGTTACGTTCAGCGCAGAGTGCATCGAATGTCAATAATTATGATACTGGTAGGACTGTCCACATCGTGCGTATTGCAGAATGAAAACCCGCTCTCACGTAGTAATAGAATCTACATGTACGTGGTACACCTGCTCCCTAGCCCTGTAGGTTTTAACTTTGTAGTTGGAAGGTTGAACACAACAGTCACTGAGACGGGCGCGTCACTTCCACATGAACTGCGGCACGTGCACGCACAATGCAGGAATTGTGCTGAATACACAGGCAGTAGACAAACGAGACATGGTGACCAGATCCCCCCTTTGTAACGTTAGATTTACCTTACAGGCGCAGGCTGATTCTGACGATAGACTGGCCACAGCTGCTGGCAGAAAGTTCCCGCGAACCCAGCTGGCAGACATGTACTCGAACTCGCCAGAGCTGAGTGCTAGTACACTGTGTATGGAGAATTTCTCGGACTGCTCGGAATGTATGTACACCATGTACATGGTCTATGACGTCATTCTACCTGGAAACCAGTTGACAACAGCAGCCATAGCTAGCCTGGCGGCGCAACACTGCTGACACGAAAAGGAAGAAAGCATACCGGACACATATGTGCCAGGGCCCTGGGGTAACTCTGGAACACTCCGGCGATGAATACCTGGACTTAAGTAGCCTAGAGCGCTGACACGAACATACATGTATTTCTTACGCACAGTAGAAGCTCTCTCTCTCTCTCTCTCTCTCTCCCTCTTTTTATCTCTCTCTTTCTATCTCTCTTTCTCTCTCTCTCTCTCTCTCTTTTTATCTCTCTCTTTCTATCTCTCTTTCTCTCTCTCTCTCTCTCTCTCTCTCTCTCTCTCTCTCTCTCTCTCTCTCTCTCTCTCTCTCTCTCTCTCTCTCTCTCTCTCTCTCTCTCTCTCTCTCTCTCTCTCTCTCTCTCTCTCTCTCTCTCTCTCTCTCTCTCTCTCTCTCTCTCGCTCGCTCTCTTTGCCGGTCGGTTAATTCCCTCCACTTTGCTCTGTGCATGCACTGTTGCAAACATCGGCACAGATAGAGAGAGTGGTGTTGCAAATTCAAATTCAAATAAAAAGAACAACAACAACAGAGAGAGGGGAGGAGGGGAATTCCTCCAACTGATTCCCGCCACTCCATGTTTGGAATGTCCTCCTGTTCACCTCATCTAGAACGCGCGGAGTACAGGATATGCGTCTAGATTTAGGCACAGCTGCTGTGCTAGGCGTGTCGGTAGTATTACCCAATGCCGCATTTTCAGGTTACCAGATTACCAGAATGCCAACAGTGAACATTCATACATAATACAATGTTATGTAGCAGGAAGTAATAGCCAGTCCGGAACCTCGTACAGGCACTTGTCGTGTGAGGGCTAGCTGTGGGCCTACACCATGTACTCGTACCAGCCGTCCACAGCCCTTTTATCAGTGCTTGCACGTTAGTACTACTACTCAATTAGTACTAGTGCTGCCCAACGCGGCATGCCCACGGCCATGGGTGTCATGGTCTGTAATCTGCATACGTGTAAATGTATGTATTGCACTTCCTTTGAAAAATGGCTAAGTGCATCAACTGATCAACTGGTCAAGGTCGTTTTTAGTTTGTACGCTTTGAATTACCCTAGCCTTGGTGGACTACACAACGATACAAGGAGGACAAGACAGTAGCCATGTGGCCCGACGGAAAGAACAGCACTTTTCCTGTAGAGCAGGACATTCGGGATTTTCCCTTTCCTTGCCTGAATGGCCGTGGAGTGCACATGTCTAGCCAAACCAGTTACATGTACTAGTAGCTACATGATTGTAGAGTAGTAAGTCAAGATAATATTATTGTAATTTGTATTAAATAATTATAATAATACAATGTATGTACATGTACATGGCACTTCACTTTGTTGTAACGGTGCGAAAGAAGAGTCAGGTGCATGGTCAGGTGCATGAGTATTATGTTATTATGTTGCAAGTATCCCAGATCATAGCTAAGCCGTTCACGTGAAACCATCCCCGAGCAGCTCTACTACAGGTACATGTACTAGTAGTAGATCTACCTATCAACAATGCACAAGATCAGCTCAACATGTCGTACTCATCCCGTTGTATCAGCTACTGTTACTGCACCAGCACACGACACGGTTTTTGCAACTACACTACAGGACTGGCTAGTTTGCTCGTCAGCATCCGGGGTGACGAAATTGTCTGATCCCATCGTCTGTGCATGTACCTGTAACTAGCGGACGAGATATTGTACACGTTGGTATAAATTGTACATGTATGTGCTTGCATTGCAAGTGCTTGCTCTAAACAGAATAGTGCAGTGTACTGGAACGCACTACGCTGAATGATCGCACGCCTCCACACTTCACGAAACTCGAGTGTCCCGGTAGTAAAAAGTTCCTGCATGTATATCAGATCCAATCTTTGTCCCGGACGATCGATCCCATCCTCATGACGTAATAATTATAACACTGTCGTGCCATTCTGCGGTTGGCAATGGGCTGAGTGATGGATGCTTGACTGCCTTGAGTTACTGGTTTCTCAAGCGAAACATCCGAGTCAGACCCCACTGATACTCCCCATTTCCAGGGACAGACTCCACCAGGCCCTACTGTGCGAATACTAGCCGAAAAACCAATAGCTTTTCCACATCAGTTGAGCGAATAAGCAACTATTCTTTACTTTGACCCCGCGAAAGCTATGAAGACACTACGCTGATACAAAATACGGATTGCCAGTTGATTCCTGGCTAGCGAGGACGTAGTCGGTTGGACCCAACGCTTCGCCCCTGGAGACCCCGACCGATCGAACAGGCTACAGATAGTCGCAGCCTAAATCTACGAGCTGTGTGCATGTGTGCATGTGTGCCCAGGCAAGTGACGAGGCATACGTATACTCCACACTACCACTAGTCACTGGTTCTTCGGAGTGGTCCGCATATTCGAGCACGCCTAGCTGTAAGCCTTCCGACTAATTCTTTACTACTTTAGCGAGGGTACATTTGTCGACTGCAAGATCTAGATTCGATCATAATCTTGTCCTTGCAGGAATGGTGTATAACCTTTCAATGGTCCATCTGCCCTGGGTAAGCGTGACTTTGTCTTCAGCTACCATTTAGAAAAGGTGCCAAGTGCGGCCCGTGGTGGGATAATTATTCACTCTTTGTGGACACGGCACGGATACCTTTCACAGAGGTCGAGAAACATCGCTGTCCTCGAAGTAATTCGGGTGGTTTCTTCGAGACAGGGAAAATTCGAGATATCCTCGAAGGCTTTCTCGGAGCTCAGGTTATCGTCATCTGCAGCGGCGGATTGCGACAGGATAAGTCGGGTGAGTGAGTTTGTCGGTTCCTTTTTGCTGTTTTGAGGCGTCTTTTCCACTCCGACCTTCTTCCCCAAGGCGATCTTGCGGAAGCTGCAATTCCCTACGTAGATCTACGGGAGAAAATGGAGTTGCTAAAGAAGACAAGAAGTGTCAGAATAGTGTCACATCTATTGGAGCTCTCAGCCCACAAAGCACTGGAGCATTGTTGCCGATCATTTGCTGTGTCTTCCGTCGATGCTTTCATATCGCAATATTTTTTGTTACTTCGGCTCGTAAACTGTGTGTTGCATGGATCTACGGGTGACGACGACGCTCGCTGGCGATCATTTTACATTACACCACGCAGTCAGAGAAAGAAGCGAGAATGAGCCCAGAGAAGCCCACAACAAAACCGTGCTCTTTCTTCTATTCTTTTGCGCCAGCTGCACCTGTTAGTAGTAGTTCAATGCGCAGCAGAGATGGCTCCCTTATCTAAACTGATTGTGCATGACTAGAAAATGGCCAAAGCGGGCCCATCGACGGCATCTCTATTGTTCAAGTTCGCCCGCGCAAACCGTTTGTAATTGACTAGTAAGTAACTATTACTTGTTTCCCTCCTGCGGTATGCTGCAAATACGAGTTTAGTCTGAGCCGGTATCCGCTCAGTTGAGTGGAAGAACCAGTAGCATAATCTAGTAGGCCATTCGTCATACACCAGGCTTGAGGAACAAAACATAGAGGTTACCTACGTGTCGTTGGCTTCAAAGTAGCTTGAAATGTAGGTACATTCAAAGTTGAGGCTAATAACTGAGCTAAGTACAATGCCCCTTTGTTGACAATAATTATTATTGTCTTGGCGGTTATGAAACTGTCTGGTGCGCGACTCAAGGAGGACACAAATAATGAGGGATACTCATTCTCCAAGATACTAGTCAATCACTAGATACTGATGAGGCCGCAGTGTCACGGCTATGCTGTAGTACATGTACCGGTATGTACCTGTATGTAGAACACACCAGATAAGATGTCGGGACATCACTTGGGCATGGAAAAAGCCATCAATATGGGCAGCTGGGCAGTTGACTATCCTGGACAAATTCCTTTGATCTCTCTGTGATATTCACTAATCCATTCAATTATTCGCGACATGTGTACGGCCGTGTGCTGATTTCGTGAGCAGCTGTACTTCTAGTGGTCTGATTGGTGAGCAGCTGTACTTCTAGTGGTCTGATTGGTGAGTTTCCTTTGCATGTGTTATGGTCATTGGGCTCATAGCGTAGAGCACCTGTTGTACGCTTTTTCCTTGGACTGTGGTGACAGTTGCATCTAGTTATGGCTAATAACAGGCACAGTGACAGCATGCACAGTGAGAACAGGCACAGTGAGATTGACTTGTGGACGTTTCCTTTGCTTTATACTGTGTAGTAGTAGTAGAGGATATGCACGGAGTGGGTCATTTTGTCAAACAAACTAACCACCGTAATTGTAGGATACTTGCCTCACAAGTAAGCCGGCTAAGGACAGCTGGCTGTGGATGCAGCTGGTGGCTTTGGACTAAATAGATGCTTGCCAGTGCCTGGGTCCAAATCAGGACATGTGCTTTGCCCAGTTGGTCACTTGATACCGTGCATAGTAACGGTATGTGAAGCACAGTGGGTCTCCCTCTCATAGCCTCAGGTGTTGACGTTCGTGCAGGCATCAGGAAGAAAAGGATGGAAGGCAGCATTATGCAACTATTCACGAAATGACTCACACTTCCCTGGATAGCAGTGTTGTTTGCTCAGCGCAGTATACACAGCATACACAAGCCATTACCAATCCTACTGTTTGTATGCCATGAGCTTTCTTGTCTCGACTTCATAATCCCTTCGTCTTGGTTCATTTTTTTTAAATATAATGTGATCACATCTGCTGGTGATCTTGCTGTCAATCAATCCCATTGCCTGCTGGCGATCTTGCTGTCAATCAATCCCATTGCCTGCTGGCGATCTTGCTGTCAATCAATCCCATCGCCTGCTGGTGATCTTGCTGCCAATCAATCCCATCACCTGCGATGCCTATCTTGTAGATTAGTAGTCAGCCATATTTCCCCCGTGCATTCTATTATGGTGAGGACAATGGAATTGCAAATCGTTCGTGCCTCTACCTATGTGATGTATTCCGGACGAATACATGGCTAGGCCATGTGATATATTCCGTACGAGTGCATGGCTAGGTCATGTGATGTATTCCATATGAGTGCATGGCTAGGTCATGTGATGTATTCCGAACCAATGCACGGCTAGGTCATGTGATGTATTCCGGGCGAGTGCATGGCTAGGCTGTTGCAGTTGTAAATTGTTAGTTTTAGATGACAAGGACCATCTATTTATCAAGGTTTGCTTTTTCCTCGGTGTGTGTGTGTGTGTGTGTGTGTGTGTGTGTGTGTGTGTGTGTGTGTGTTCTGTGTGCATGTGGCTATACGTATTTGTCCGATGATGTTGCTTAGGTCAGTGAAGTGCGATATTCTGACTGCGGTCGTCGTCGGCAGCAGCAGTCGCAGCAGCAGCAGCAAAGCTCGTCAATGATGGTGTCTGCGGTTAGCTCACACTCACCGTCAAGCAACTCCTCGGCTGCCGAAGCTGACGGTGCAGTGTACGTTCCTCAATCTGCCTTCAGTCTGTCATCATCTTCCTGTGGCGTTCAGCCTGCTGCTCGTCAATCCATACCACTTCAGACTGGCATATACCCGTCTTCGCGACCAGCCCAGCAGTCTCAACCACTCTTTATATATAACTACACAGGACACACGCAAAACCGTGCTGCTACAGAACCTAGCGATTCATCCAGGATTGTTGAACTACACTCACCTAGCTCACCTGAAGTAGATGTAATGGAGGAGGACGACGAATCACGTTTTGATATTGGTGAGCCGCCACCACTCATCAAAATAAGGGAGTCTCCATCAGATGGCGATGATGTACGAAGTACACCTTCTCTTGACTCTGCACATCACACCAGCAGTAGTGAAGGCCACCAGCCCGTCATGCCTGCAATTCCACCCCCGTCATTCGTGACCGTTGTCAATCCCCTGATCAAAATGGCTAGTCCAATAGGAGAGCATCCACCTCATCCCATGGCAGGTGGTGTCGGTCCCCAGTCGTTAGTTCAGTATCGCCTGGTAACCACGGCTACATCACCTGATCAGATGAAAGCAATCGGCATGGCACCGCTGCAACCATCGCCTGTGCCCATTCCAACTCGTCCTGTGGCCAGCACAGGACAAATCTTCACCGTTCCTTATCCATACTACACGACTGGCATCTTACCTAATACGTCGTCCGCGCAAGGAGTTGTGGAAGGCAGTGGCCAATCAGCTGTTGTTGCTGCTGGTACAGGTGGTACCTGGGCAAGCATAAAGCCAGGCGCCATACCTGCCCAGTCATCATCTCTGATCCAGTGCTTTCTGCCACGTCATGCAGGCTTTGCCACAACAATAGGGACCGCTACAAACACGGGACCACGACAAGATCAAGCAGCAACATATATTGCTAATGGGCCATTGCAGCGTTCAGCAGCATCGTATGACAGCAAAGGTTTAAGTTCACGGCATGAGGCACTGCGAGTAGTCCACCCAGCACCTACAGGAGATGCCCATAGGCTTACTTCTCCATACCAGCAGCAGCAGCAGCAGCAGCAGTCCACCAGGACCTTTGGTCACGCATCAGTGCTATCACCAGAGCCAGAAAGTCCTAGCTCCAAGTATTACCATTCAGCGGCTGGGGAGCAGAGTGGTTCATTGCATGAGGCGCCAATGCAAACCAACGCTGTGCCCTATTATCGTCTTCAAGGTCCTTACACAGTGGATGACGGAGTGGAGGATCGCGTAGCACATGAAAGGCAAGAGTTGGTGAAGCCGGATCCAGCCCGTATCACTGCCTCAGTCACCGGTGGCGCTGACAATGACCTCTCCGATAGCAGTAGTGTGACAGGAGGCGAGAAGCAAACACAAGACCTGTACTGGTGTTCTCAATGTCACTTCACGTTCAAGTGGCGGCGACATCTTGAGCATCACTTTGCTGCTCATCGCACCGCAGAGCGTCCCAATCTGTGCCACCTGTGTGGACGTTGCTTCACTCGCGGCGACCATCTGAACCGCCACGCCAGCATGCACTTCATCAACAAATTGACGTGTCAGCTGTGTGGAGAGACCCACCAGCGTGCTTCTCACTTGGAAATGCATTGGCACAATGCTCACTCCAACTACCTGTCCAACATCTGCCTGCCCGCTGCTCAGAGCGCAGTGGCAAAGCCTCACTCGTACTCGGCTGCAGGACGCCAGGGAATGGCAGTCCACACTGCTTCAACATCATCTCATCATCATCATCATCACCATCATCATCAGCAACCTCACCACCATTCTCAGAGTGTTGGCTACCATAGGTCAGCATCATCATCAGCTGCAGCACTCTCATCGCAACAGATGGGCCATGCCAGCAACGAAAGCAGCATGGTGGCAGATGACAACCAGACTGATCCATCAGTATCAACGAGTGAAGAGCTCACTCCCATCGAGGAATCGGCCGTGAAAGTGGCCATGCGACCTGTTCCATCCGGAGACACTCGTCCGTTCCGCTGTAATACCTGTGCCCGTGCGTTTAGCCGTCTGGCACACTTGCAGCGCCACCAGAACGTGCACACTGGCGACAAGCCGTACCGCTGTTCACTCTGCGGCCGTACCTATCACACGTCAGACAAGCTGAAGGCGCATGTTGTCATGATGCACGACAGCCACCTCATCTCCTGTCCAACATGTAAGAAAGAGTTCAGCACTATGGGCGCCCTCACAAACCATCAGAAGGTGCACATCAGAGAACGGATCAACTCTACAATGAATGGTTAGCAGGCACAAGCCTCACCTGCAGGCCACTCTTGCCACTGCCGGGGAAGTTACTTGAACTGCTGCTATGCTATTGACAGTTTATCAGATTTCTGTGTTACAACTCTGTGAATAATAATGTGCTCAGCAAATAACGGCGACATCATCATCATCACCATGCATGCTCTATTTATGGAAGATCTCATCAAGTTATTACAATTCCTATAATCTGAACCACATACAAATAACACTACTCTTACACGGTTATGACGAGTGTTGAGTACAGCAGAACAGAATCTGTTGCCAAACAATGACTGCAGCCAATATTCACGCACTGCACTTTGTAGAGAAATAACTGTTGCATGATGTGGCATCCCCGAGGCTCACACACCTTGAAACACACCCTTCAATTTGATTTTCTATTGTTTTTCGGAAGTTGTCACAGTAAGAGCAGCTGTGTACTCGTGATATTGTCAATCAAACTTAGGTCGCAGAACACAGTGCATTAAATCATCATTTAGCTACTGTATACAGACTTTCTGATATTATCCCCAGTGGAAGTAGACTAGGACTCTAGGTAGATGCCCTTATGCCAGACATTGTTTTACTGCCCGCTTGTACAAGTAGCACATTTACTACAAGTACTACAGTGAGTGCCATAATCAGTCTCACCCGGACTCACAGCTTGATTCTTCTTCTATACAGCTGCGGCATTTCTTTACGCAACAGCAATTCTCCGCTGATGAGAAATATCTTCAGCTAGCCTGCATCATTTCAATTTTGCCTGTAGCAGCTCTACCAATGTGAACGTACCAAAACGCTTCAAGTCCTTCGATGCCAGGTTGCTACGCTAACGCCGAGACCCCTGGTCGGTCGAGTTGCTCCCTGTACATCGGCACGTCGTCCCTACATCCCCTGTGTCTTGTCTTGTGTTTGTCTCCACATGTCTCTTTGTAGGGCTGTGTTCCCAATAAAAAAAATAAAAAATAAAAAATAAAAAAGTCACAGGCTACTGATCATGAAGGAGTAATTGGGTTTTACATACCTACTGACCTGCCATGACTCTGACACGTGCCGTCCAGACCCACGGCTACCGCCGACCATACATCACACTGCTGGTATATCGAGGAGAGTGGCCGCCAATCTGCTTCCGCGGGTCTGAGGTTGGACTGTAATCATCGCGCGGGTGGCTTCAGCACTAGGCCGCAGTGTATTCGGGTTCGTCAACTGGCACGCGGTGACTCTGGTCCGAGTCGGGCAATCGACTTTGCTGGAAGCCAATGTGCTTAGTACATGTACGATGTAAAGATACCTTCAGTCCCGGGGGAAGTGACCCGAATCACATACACCTTGTAGAACTGTGACTGCACAACCTCTCGTGTTTTGTATATTACTTGAATTCTAGGGCCTCTAACCCAATCGAGTCGGTTATCACCAGCTCTGGAAATCATCCGGGCCAAGCCAATAGGGCTTGAAAGTGATGACGTCAAAAGCGGCCTGGGAGTAGTAAGTTGACATCAGATTTCTATTTCGGATCCACTAAGGTGTGACTTTGCTATTGCCTCAGTACTGTAAACCGCCCAACATTCGCGTCACTAAATTTCCGCGATTTCTTAAAATCAGCAAGTTTGCGATGGCAAAAGTTCGCGAAGCAACGGGGTCACCTACATACACCCACTGTTGAAGCTTGATTTCACGCTGGTTAATATTCGCGTTACGCTCTTCTCGCGAAAATAGCGAACATTAATCCGTCGCGAATATTAGACAGTTTACAGTATATGGGTGCATAGCAACCCACTCATGTCACTCATGTCGTATGCAGCTGCGACTTTTACTTCGCCATCAGTTGTCACCCCGCCTCCACTAGCCAAATCAGTCGGTTTCACTGGCTACATCACCTTGCTGTGAGCAAGACCGCTTGAAATGTGCTTGGAATAGCCTTGGATCCATACAAAAACTGGATCCAGTTTTCGAATTTTTCAAATTGTTGCTATGCCATTGCTATGCTGTGACGCAGCACTTTCAAGCCCTATAGTGCACACTATAGCAGTTCTTGCCAAAGTGGGGTGGTGGGGGTGGGCAGAGGTGTTAAAGATCTGTTTCAATCGGAGCTCGACACCGGCCGTAGTGAGGCGGTGCTCTGTCATCTCCGCTCCAATGCCGTCGCCCGCCGCAACCCGGCAACTAAGGCACGGGTACATGTACCCCGTCCCAGATGGGTCTCCTGGAAATGCTGCAATTAACAGTCTTCACCAGCATATTGGGATGATTGAACCCAAAACCTCATGTCATGTTTCGAATGCTAATGCCCTAGGGAACACGGTTTTGCCAAGTTTATGGAATACTTCAGCCTCAGGAGAGACAAGTATAAGCTGCCCTGAACTGTGACTGGAGAGTCCAGCGGAGGGGGGAATCAGGCGCGTGCACCGTATGAGTTTTTTGGTGTCTGGAAACCACCTTTTTCGGGCCTCGTGAATCTTGCCAAAGGAAAAGTGTGGCTACTGGATTGGCTATCATACATACACGTCGATCGACGGGCAGTTTACAGCACAGTGACTATGTCCTTATCAGGTGCGTGCGCCGGCGCCCCCCCCCCCCCTGGGAAAAATTTCAAAGAAGGAACCAAAATCCTGCATTTTGAGCGAAAAGGGGGGGGGGTTCCGGGCACCCAGGAACCCATACGGGGCACGCGCCTGCTTATTTCGAAGTGAGAGAGAGAAAGAGAGAGAGAGAGAGAGAGAGAGAGAGAGAGAGAGAGAGAGAGAGAGAGAGAGAGAGAGAGAGAGAGAGAGAGAGAGAGAGAGAGAGAGAGTTGCTTTGCATGCAGTTCAAAACACATTATTCTCTCTTTCTTCAGTGGAGAGTAGCTACAGAGATATCGATCTCCAGCTCTGGCCTGCTCCTGGATTGGCGATGACGTTCAAGAAATCCGTTTTGTCTCGAAATTTGAGTCAAGCACGCACGATGCAAGTCAGTTCAAGGATTTGATTGACGAAATCTCCTTCCAAATTGTTGACTCAAATCAAGATCTCCACAGCCTTCGTTCTCGCTCATATGCGCAGCAGAGATGTTCGTCAAAACTTTGTCAACTGGAAGACGTAAAAATGTGCGTCCATGATCCACTTGCGCTGCTGCAGAACGAAGCGCTGCTCCGGCCGCGACTCAAGGACACGGGGCTTCGCTTTTCTTTCGCGAGTTTCCATCGAAGCAAGGTCCATAACTCTTGATTGAAATCATAAGCATGATAAGGAACATTACCAATACATGCTGACAACTTCATCATAAGAACAGAAAAAAAGATACGTCGAATGTAAGCAGTGTTTTGAGGAAACGAACATGCCTGGAGTGGACTAGTGAAGTACCTGCTATAGACTGTAGTGTAGCCTGGGCGGTTAGGCCTATCAAACGTTTACGTGTTCAATATGACAAACATGTAAATTTGTGCACATTGCCTTTTGCACCCTTTTTTGCAAATGCATGTAACTGCTGGTATGTAAAAGGTAACCCGTTTTATCCTGCTACCGGTTATACTAGCATTTCTATGTAACATCGTCCCCTCCCTCAATTCCTCATTAGCCAGCTCTTATTTCTGTCCTTTCTACCCCTGGACCTGGTTCCCTCTCAGACGCATTTGTGAGGGCATGATAGCAGTCGGAGGAGCCCAACATCTCATCAGCACCAGTGTCCATTGGTGCCCTGCACCACTGATCTTGAATCTCCCCTCCTCCCTAGCCCTCACCGTTATCTCCGACGGGATGTTCGGGGGATGTGCATGTGCACAAATACATAATTATACAGTGTGTCTCCAGACAAAAATTTACCAACTCTGGAAACCCCCCTTTCAAGACTCGGTGCGCGCCACTGCGGGATCTCCTCTTCGGATTCGAGCATGATGGATTACCGTAAAATTCCGTAAATAAGCCCACCCTAAATAACGCCCATGTCCGATAATAAGCCCAGTTTTAGGCGGTGTACACTTCAAGTCCGTTTTAGCGCCCATGCCCGAAATAAACCCAGGGCGTAAAGTGGACTCAAAATGACCAGCGTGTGAGCGTGCGTTCGCGTACATGCCGGTACCTGTTGTGCCTTGTACCAAGAGTACATAAACCCTTGCTTGTACTTATATAGCAAGTGGTTTACCTACTTCTTGAAGTATCAAATCTGTAATTTATCGCTACATTCTTGGTTACGACCAAATTTCCAGCTGTGGTTTGATGTACCTGTACCGCGCTCAGTGTGAATGATGGTTCACTGAAACTAGTGGGTTGCTGATACATTGATCTTCTGCAGATTGCGTCCGAAATACCGCCCATGCCCTAAAATAAGCCCATGCCCAAATATACGCCTGGTTTTTGACCCTCTGCAAAGTATACGCCCAGGGCTTATTAACGGAATGTTACGGTATGTGAACTTCATTTGCACAAATTCTTGAATTAATTGCGCTGCGCGGGCTAGGCTGCGACAAGACTAAAATAGTAAAGGACTGCACTGAACATACACCGACGTGCACACTGGAAAACCAGGGAGTACTTACTAGTAAAACACTCCCTGCTGAAACAATCCAGAAAAGGCCAGACTAGACCGTGAACCGTGGCAGTGAAAAGGCCAGACAGGGCTTGAAGTACCGGTAGTATACATGTACATGACACTGAGTACAATGGTACATGGAATCGGGTCCTCAGGAGTGTCCCGCTCCAGCACAACGTTGGACTTGGAGGAGACCTTCAAAGCTGCAGCAGTACCTTACGCAATTGGCCATTGACTGTGCCTGTTGTATTCCTTGCTAAATACCTGCAACAGTACCTAATGCCATGTTTGACAAATGGATCCGTACTAATACTATTGATCTCCAGATCGTAGACGTAGACTATCATAATAAAAAATAATAAAAAATGCATTTCCAGTGCATACACACTTTTTTCTCTCTTTCTTTCTTATCCCCGGCCGCGGCCCCGGCCGGCATGGATGCAAGATCTCCTTTTGTTGGCCGTCGTCTGTGATCCATTGTGGTAGGCCTTCATCTGTTTGGCGAAAAAGGACCCCACGATCCAAGACGAAGTTGACTGCAAAGCGTTTTATTGCTCTACGCCTCTTCGCGTCCGCAGGAAACGAGGCAGGCGTTTGCAAGCAACGCTTGCAAGACTTCGTCGTAACACGCCCGATTACCACCAAGAGAAGACATCTTCAGGACGTTTTGAAGAAAAAAACCCGAAAGCACAACTCATGATTGGGAACTGATTTCGCGGATGCATGTCGATCCGCGAAAACGGTCCATAGATGCAGGAAATGTGTGGAACCGTTTTCGCGGCTAGCTGGAACCGTTTTCGCGGTGAGACCCCATCCGCGGAAACGGTTCCAAGAGGGCCATAGATGCAGGAAATGTGTGGAAGAACCGTTTTCGCGGAGGAACTGTTTTCGCGGCTAGGATGGAACCGTTTTCGCTAGCGAAAACGGTTCCAGGGGGTAACCGGTGTATGCCTGGAACCATTTTCGCGGAGGAACCGTTTTCGCGTTTACACCGGCTACATGTCTGTAGTTGTTGTTGCTTGGCTTTATAAATGTACAGTACTAGTTTATTTAGGCGCTAGCGCATAGCGCTACCGATTATAATGTGCACTTTCATAAAAAATAAAAAATAAGTCAAAGGGATTTCCCCCTTTTTATGCACATGTACAAAACCTACTAAAGATTACGTCATAATATAATAAAAAAGATGTAATAATCTTTCATCTTCAAAAAAAGGTGTGCGCTTTCGATTTCAAGTATATGCTTCAGAATGAAGAAAAACTTTTCTATGATGAGCTGAGTCGTACGAGAACAGAAAATTGAAAATGGGCAAGAAGACGAAGCATCGTGAACGCGAAGAAGTTGAAGATGAGGAGCATCAGCCGAGCTCAAAGAGAGTAAAGGAATCGACCGCTTCTGTTGGTGCTGCGGATGACAGTGCGGCTGTTCCCGACGAGCTGGGACTGTTTCAAGATGAGCCTAACGAGATTGTTACGACTCAGCAGGACCAGGAAGAATTGGAGAGAATGAGAGTGATGGTAGAGGCATTCTCTGACCACCATCAGGATAGATACGAGCAGTATAGGCGTTCTTCACTACCTCGAACGCAAGTAAAACGTCTGATGCAGGCTGTAGCCGGATCTGGTGTGTCCATTCAGCCCAACGCTGTCATTGCCATGAATGGTGTTACGAAAGTTTTTGTGGGCGAGATTGTCGAGGAGGCGCTGGACTATCGTGACTCACAGAACGAAACTGGACCTCTCAAGCCTCAACACATACGTGAAGCTGTGCGCCGGCTGAGGAATAAGGGCCATGGGACATTTCAATTGGCGTCTATTCCTAAGGGTCCACGCCTGTAGAACACTCCGATGCACGTTCAATGTACTTCAGGTCAGTGAGGTTGCTACAGATAAGAACTACAAAATAGGCGAGCTGCTTCACTCCGTGGGCCTATTACATCTATTGGTGTGAAAGCATGTTGAGATACTCTCAGTCTGTATGTGCGTGCGCATGTGTGTGTTATGTGTGTGCTTGCGCGTGTGTGCGCGCGCGCACACGTGTGTGTGTTATGTGTGTGTGTGCGTGTGTGTGTTATGTGTGTGTTGTGTGTGTGTGCGTGTGTGTGTGTGTTATGTGTGTGCTTGTGCGTGTGTGTGTTATGTGTGTGTGTGTGTGTACATTGTATACAGTTTTTGTGTGTTAGCATGTCTGTCTGTCTGTCTGCACGTGCATGTAAATGTGTGTACTAGTATTTTAGCATCAGGTTGCTGGCAGTCTGGACAATGACCAAAAGTCAAACTTATATAATAGCATGAATAGTCTTGCGGAGTCGAGTGTTGCTGCCGGTTAGAAACACACCGTACTCATTTAGTTGATGTTTTGTGCTGTGTTTCTGATTTCAACCTTTTGTACTCTTATTTTATTCCAGAACTGAGCATGTATTGCTGGATGTACAGGTGTATGTTAATGTGCATGTTTCTTGAGATGTCTGTATACAGTGTCGTAATGTTTCAATCAAATCGCACATTTGCAGAACTATTCAACATGCCATAATTATGTTTAGTACATGTACCACCAGATTTATTATTTTTGGTATCAGTAGTGAACTCCTTCGCACACATTCAGTGGATCATTGTTTGCAGGATCCAGGTTGGTGCAATCCTTCCAACTGCGTAGGTATTGCAAAGGTCTTGACTCTTGACCATGATATCCCGATGCGCTCTGTGTGGTGTGGACCAGGTGTACATAGGGAGTCAGTTCACGGTTGTATGGTTCACGTGGCTTGCCGGCTGTATGGGTTTGAGTTGGCTGGTGACCGTGTTCCGTGTAGGGCTGCAAAGGGTAGGGGTTGGTCGGGTAACGAGTTCGGATATGTTTTATCCGGGTAGCTCGGGTCCCCTATCTGGTATTTTTTGAAATAGTTTGTACAGTGATTGTGCACTTGCGCCCTGTACTGTAGAAAGTGTACAGTAAGCATGTAACCATGCACCGTTGCGAAGACACCATACTACAACTACCCAATCGGGTTCTCAGGAGCAAACGACTACCCGAGTACCCGTTCTAATTACGGGTAGCACGGGTACCCTACTACCCGTTGACACCCCTAGTTGCGTGTGTCTTCATCTGTTACATTCACCGATCTTCTCTCTCATGTCTTCATCTGTTACATTCACCGATCTTCTCTCTCACCAGTGTGATGAGAAACCAGTAGGTATGCAGCCAGTGGACTTGCTGGTCTGCGTGCTTCTCGTGCGACGTGTACGCACATGTGCTATGCATGGTCTCTTCGATCTAGCTGTTATGAAACTACAATACGACATGTTAGTGCGTGGGTGTGCGCGCATGCTAGTGCGTTTCGTTGTGTATGTCTGTCTGTCTGGTAGCTCGCCCAAAGAGTGCACTCTTTCAGCTCTACGTTTATACCAGATGTATTGGAATATCAACTCCAATTGGCTGAACACAACTAGCCATTCCTAGATTGTCACTCAAGTAATTGCAATGCAGTGCAGCATGATAAAAAAACAGGAGAACACCTTAGTGGGTGAAAAGAAAACTGGAAGGGTAATACAAATGTGCTACGGTTGGCGTGCAAGTCGGTTTATCTTGCACACGATTGCGACAAATCACCAGAATTTGTCAACTGTTCACCTCGTTAACAATGAAAATTAGGGGGGGGGGGGGGGGATGTGGTCTCACAGTATGTATGCACCATCACTGCATGGGCCTGGAATATACCGGAGATAAGCTTACATGCAGAGTGAGCATGCATGTAGATACCGCAAACCGTGTAATGTCTGTGACAAGAGATGCTTACATTTTAGAATTGATACTAGTTTGCGTCGGTGTATTATTGTTGTGATTAAAGTTCTGCACAGCGCAGCATACCTGGTACTAGAAAGAATCAGTTGAGGCTTGCGAAATTGGAAGTTTGCTACTTGGTACCCCTTACGAGATAAATCGCAAACATTCATACAGGTAACACACAGCTGGTTGTCATAGTGTGTACTTTTGAAGTACACATTGTACTATTGTAGCAGCTACTGCATAAGAAAGTCCGGTGGAGGCGGTAGGTGAGATAGGTCGTCTTCAGGTGCTTCAGCAATGTTAGCCGGTACCATCACATTGGCCAGGCTTAGTGAATAAGGTGCAGGTGGTGGTGATGGCGTGGTCAGTGAAGCTGACCGCCCAGGGCTCATTGTCAGCATCTCCAGCGTACCATTGATACTGCATTCAGCTAAATTCAGTGTCAGTGTGTTGGGTGTTGGAGGCAACGGTGATGGTGTCAGTGGTGGACGATATTCAATACCACCTGCCGCTTGTTTGTACTGCTGCTGCTGCTGCTGCTGCTGCTGTTCCTCCTGTTCTCTATGTTGACTGGGCAACAGGTGTTTTCCACTATCACGTACTGACTTGAGCATAAATGGTGGCAATGGTGGCGGTTTGGGTGGCTGTGGACCCGCTCTGCTTCTGATACTGTCAACTTCGGCACTGTTGTCCATTGTGTGCTTGGTGCCATCCACCTGTGCAAGCGGATTCGCCCAAGCATCCCTGAGTGGCGGGCGACTGCTTGAGTCATTACTGGATATGCTGGAGATTGAATCTTTGAAAGTGGTGCTGCCGTTCAGGGAAGACCTCACAAAGCTGCCGCTGCTGCTGCCTAGGCTGCTGTTTGGCGAGGGAGTGGTGGAGCGCAGTGATAAAGTGCCAGAGCTCATTGAACCGCGGTACTGTGATGAAGCGGCAGAGCACATTGAACCGCGGTACTGGTCTGTCAAGCTGATGCCACTGTCCATTGTAGCAGCACTGGATCTGTCACTAGCAGCAGCACATTGGCTCTTCAGTGGTCGTGGACAAAATCCCTGAGCAGGCATGGTTGCTGCTGATTCTCTTTCCACCAGTGGTTCAATGTATGAATGTTCTGGACCGTGCGGTGTCCGCAGAAGCGCAGGGGACTGTTCATTGCGTTGCCGCGGGAAAGACTGTCTTTGAGAGTACGGTGTGATGTCTTCTGCCTGCGACTGCGGATCACGGCTGCGGCCAATGCTGCTACTGCTGTTAGTACTGCCGCTGCGGCAGCCTCGGCTCCCGTTGGTACTGCCAAGGCGGCTTCTGCTCTCGATGCTACTGGCACTGTGACATCGACTCTCATCAATCACACCGAGTGCGTGTGATGGCATTCTCCGTGCTTCCTGCAAGCAGCAGAAAGTGGAATGGAGGGTGAGTGGCGACATGCATACTTCAAAGTAGACAGGGTGGACAGTGGACACCTCATGTGAGTATGTATAATACCTCTGGAAGTATGCCGCCATGTATTTTGGGAGTTACTCAGTACCGTAAAATACCGTTGATCCGCACCCACGCCATGTCGCTTCCCAGCTGAGTTTTTGGCAGGGGGCGGGAATTAGATCAAGGCTGTCAAGTGCAGTACGATGTACAACGACGTGGAGGATCAGACTCGATGTGCTGAAATGTGCACATTTTCATCCTGGATTGGCAAGTATTGTGTACAGCAGTGCATGCGTCGGTTCAACATCGTATTTCGTTGTATCCGCCAAAGTCGCTTCACAAGTAGAACATCGACAGGGGGCGGCAATTAGAGAGGGGGCGGATCAACAGTACTTTACGGTACTAAAACAAGCCACGCACAGATATACATGAGTATAAATAAAATGGAATACTGGACATGCGGAGAGTTAATGCAAGTGACCCAACTCACCTTCTGCTCTTTCTCCAGTTCTGTGCCCCGTTCCCAAGCTTGACTGAAACTGGCAGCAACCTTGTTTGTGCGAGGTGCTGCTTCTTGCATGTCAGGTAGTGTATGGCCACCTGTCATGGCAGAGATATAATTATGTGAGTGAGATATAATAAATCCTTGAGCCCTTGAGATCATAGTAGAGAAGTTGGTATTTGTTTACCTTTCAATGTGTTGATGACTACATCAATATGCCATCCACCGTCATGCATGTACTGCTGCATTGGGCTAAACTGACCTGGGACTCAGTCCTCGCCAAAACAATGATGAAGTGTGCACGTGGATATGTTACAATCATCACTATGGACTATGGAAATGAAGACACCGGTGGACAATGGTGAGTGTGCATTGCTGTTGGTCAAGCATGTGTGTGCATGTTTATGTGTCCGAGTGTGTCTGTGTATGTGCGTGTTTGTATGTGCACGTGTGTGTATGTGTGTGTGCGTGTATGTGCACGGGTGTGTATGTGTGTATGTGTGTGTGTGTGTGTATATGTGTGTGTGTGTGTGTGTGCATGTGTGTGTGTGTGTGTGTGTGTATGTGTGTGTGTGTGTGTGTGTTCAACGGTTTGGATCGTATCCAATACACTCATACCTTTGTTATCCGGACAACGTATTTACGGGCATTTCGGTTTGCCGGGCATCCTTTGGGTGAGTTTTAGTGGAAATGTTACTTTTAGTGGAAATAGTGACATCACATGCCATATCTCTGGCCTTTCCCCCATCAAAACGTATAATTGTGATTCAGAGTTGGGGATATTTCAAAGTGTTGGCAATGCCCAGTCCCGGACTCAGTGCCCGGATCAAAGTGTTGGCAATGCCCAGTCCCGGACTCAGTGCCCGGATAAACGTGTTGGCAATGCCCAGTCCCGGACTCAGTGCCCGGATAAACGTGTTGGCAATGCCCAGTCCCGGACTCAGTGCCCGGATAAACGTGTTGGCAATGCCCAGTCCCGGACTCAGTGCCCGGATAAACGTGTTGGCAATGCCCAGTCCCGGACTCAGTGCCCGGATAAACGTGTTGGCAATGCCCAGTCCCGGACTCAGTGCCCGGATAAACGTGTTGGCAATGCCCAGTCCCGGACTCAGTGCCCGGATAAACGTGTTGGCAATGCCCAGTCCCGGACTCAGTGCCCGGATAAACGTGTTGGCAATGCCCAGTCCCGGACTCAGTGCCCGGATAAAAGTGTTGGCAATGCCCAGTCCCGGACTCAGTGCCCGGATAAAAGTGTTGGTAATGCCCAGTCCCGGACTCAGTGCCCGGATCAACGTGTTGGCAATGCCCAGTCCCGGACTCAGTGCCCGGATAAACGTGTTGGCAATGCCCAGTCCCGGACTCAGTGCCCGGATAAACGTGTTGGCAATGCCCAGTCCCGGACTCAGTGCCCGGATAAACGTGTTGGTAATGCCCAGTCCCGGACTCAGTGCCCGGATAAACGTGTTGGCAATGCCCAGTCCCGGACTCAGTGCCCGGATAAAAGTGTTGGCAATGCCCAGTCCCGGACTCAGTGCCCGGATAAAAGTGTTGGTAATGCCCAGTCCCGGACTCAGTGCCCGGATCAACGTGTTGGCAATGCCCAGTCCCGGACTCAGTGCCCGGATAAACGAGGTAGGACTGTACTGTGACTATCTACTCGTATTCTCTTCCACGAGGAACCTGGAGAAATCACGCAAGAACACGTGTCTCTGGGTTGGGGAATCAGTGACTTGGGTATTTTGTCCCTTTCCGGGGTAGAATTTCCATATGCTGGAGAGGATCTCAACACATGTGACACATGCAAAGAAAATTCATACAGATGTGCATGATATGTATTGCCCATATTTAGCAGCAGACCAGCAGACAGCTGCTGCATTTGGCAAGAAGAATTTCCAGTGCACATATTTCATGTGAGGTATGATGTGTGTGTGTGTGTGTGTGTGTGTGTGTGTGTGTGTGTGTGTGTGTGTGTGCGTGCGTGGGTGCATGCGTGTGTGTGTGAATAAAGTGCAGAACATCTTCTTTGCAACGCATCAAGACCGGCAACAGCATGAGTGCATGTATTCAGATTGTTGCGGTGCGTTATCGTCACATACATTGACCTTTGATAAGTACCCACACTCATTAGTGACCACACCGTCAACAGTATCAAGTTCAAATAATTTTTCTTTGACTCAATAAATACAGTACCACCGTATTTTTCCACGCAGCACTGCACTTTTCCCTAAAAAGGAATATTCTATAAACGGTATTTATTGGCCTTAGTGGTACTTTATAAACAGTACTTATTGGCTTTTGAGCCACTAAATACTGTTTATAATACTCCGTTTTAGGGAAAGTGAAGGTCAAGACAACATAACTATAGTAAATGTAGTAGCCTCAGGATTTATTGCAATTACATGCCACTTCTTCTTACCCATGGCGGCTGCGAATGGATTTGGTGCAACCTTCTTTGCGCGGATCGAGCTCGTTACTGACATTTGCTTCACTCCTTTGTTCTCTGTTGAGTCTACGTACAGATCATAAAGAAGGCCAAGGGGCAGAAGGGAATAGTTATTCATAATATCATATTGCTACATGTACCAAACATAATTACCTAGTGAAGAGCAGCTGCTGGACTGAGAATGCTGGCAATGCATGGTTGTCCATGGTCAATGCTGTGTCACATGTCACCAGTAGCTAAGTCATGCTGTGTCGCATGTATCCAGTGTCAAATGTCGTGTGACATGTATTCCGTGGTCTTTGATGTGCAAGACCCTTGCACCCATTCCGGCAAGTCTGGCCATGGCTGGACCATATTTCAAAAGGTTGCCCTCGTACAAAACGGGTTTTCGTCAATACTGTTCATTCCCAGTCTACATGTAGTATCCCATTGGGCTGGACTACCTGAAATCCCGGTGCTACGGCCCTGCTACCTCACATGTTTTCAGAGGTCAATGCTTTATGACGTAAAGTAAAACATAATGGCGACCACGCGGATGTGATGACCACTCGACCATGATGACCCGTTTTCCTTGTCACGGACGCATTCACATTCAAAACAGCTCGAGTAAGGCGACCACTCGCTCAACGTGACCGACAACCACCCACCCGCGACCTCGTTGCACCAGGCTAGTACATGTAAACTTTGATGACGTATGCATTGCACTGTGCACCGTGCATGGTAGATCTACACATCAGCGCAGGAAGTGTAGATGTACATGGTGCATGCACGACACTTGACAGGGCTGAGGACCCCAGGTACATGAGTCGTGCTAGAGTAGCATAGGTGTGACTGTGTGCAGTGTGATACACTGATCAAAATGATACATCACACGTATAATTTAAAAGTGGATATGGTGAAGTGACCCACTGAACCTGGATAAGAAGACCACCTGACCAAAGCGACCACTTTTTCCAGTCCTTTGAGTGTCACCTCACACAGGTTTCACTGTCTACTTAGTCAATGGTCAATGCAGTTTAGAACATGCATGCATTTGACGCACAGCAGCTTCCAATGATAACTCACGTCGTTTCGGCTGAACAGTGTCTTTCCTGTTGCGAATATAGACTTTAGCCACATGTTCAATGTAATTGCCCAGCAATGCTGCTGATGATTCAGTGTCGCTGATAAACCGTGCACCTGAACATTAAGCAGGTCATGTGCATTCAGGGGAAATGAAGACACCGGGGGACAATGGTGAGTGTGCATTGCTAAACTTTCTCATAATTATCAAAATTTTAAAAGGGGAGAGAGAGAGAGAGAGAGAGAGAGAGAGAGAGAGAGAGAGAGAGAGAGAGAGAGAGAGAGGGAGAGAGAGGCAGAAAAGGAAGGAAGGAAAAGAAACTGTGGCAGGAGCCAACAGACAACTAGACAATGGGTATAGCAAACTGGAGAATGTGTGTGCCAGATTTTGCTCGCGACTTAGAATACATTCACATACGTATAAGCACAACTATTCGTTTACGAAATCTTTCATTAGATCACTCCACCAGCAGGTTCGTTATGTACTAAATTTCATTTTTGTTCAAGGTCTGTCACCCCGAACGTTCAGAAAAAAAACTTTAGTTTGGTGCAAACCTTAGTTAAACTTTAGTTATGTTGTGCCCCCTAACGAATATAGTGAAAATTAATTCCAAACGAAACTTTGTACTTATACAGTACAAACAGAGTCATGCACAATCAAGAGCACATAACTGTACCGATGACACCGTGAACAATAGTAGAAACTAGAATCATTGAAACTATAAATATACCCACAACATCAGCAAACCTACACTATCCATCAGGTGGGGAGAGGGGGGGGGGGGAGGGGATTCCCCTACTAACCTTCCCTATTGTACATGACATAGAGCACATAGTCTTGCCGGTCTCCAGGCAGTTTGTCCAGTTTGCGCCAGAGATGGTTGAGGATATGTCCACACAGCCAGTCCTCCGTGAAACGCACTGTTCGATATGTTTCATCCCTGCAGTGCACAAAGCATGTAGACACTCATCGCCAACACTCACTGGTCCAAGTCTCTGTACCCAGCCAATGCCTTTGACACAATGCCTTTGGCAAAGAGCTACATATATGCCTCTGGTTTCGCAACCTCACTTGCCTGAAGATTGTCATGAGCATAAACTCAGACTGGTAACCCAATCCTTATTTATGTGTTCTTCCATGCATGTAGCATGTAGCATGGCTGATCATGATCAGACTGTGACGTAAACCAGAGACTGAGTGTGTGGCTCACTCGGATTTCAGCCTTTTTCAGGAAAGCGAAATTAATCATTCACGTCATTTCAGGTGAGTCGTAGTGTGGTTGAAATCCTGTCCTACGCAATTGCACAGCATCGGCTCAACGCGTGATATTAGTTCTTCCTTGCTGATCATGATCACTGTGACGTAAACCAGAGACCGATTTCTTGGATTTCAGGAAAGCCAAATTAATCGAAAGTCATTCACGTCATTTCAGGTGAGTCGTAGTGTGGTTGAAATCCTACACAATTGCACAGCATCGGCACAACGCCTGATATTAGTTATTCTTTGTTGTTGTATTTTGTCGAAGTGCTATAATAATGACGTCAACATCCAGAATGACGCAAAGGACAAGTTACACTGACAGGACTGTTATTCCTCTCTTTCTTATTTAGCCGCTGACCGTCGCTGGAACTCAGTTCCGGCATCGTCCGCCTTGCTACTTGACCAAGTCAATTTCGTATCGCAATCCTAGATTGGCTAGGGTACCCCGTAAGGAGAGCATAGGTCTGTGGGGACTGCCCTAGAGAAATATGAATAAATACTCTACTACTACTACTACTATACAGTATACTATACTATGACTGATTGCAGCTGAGATGCATCAGCAATGTACAAATACACATACACTGCTTCCCCCAATGAAATCCAATCACGTCAGTCATGTTTGCGCCTGCACCAGTTCACATCCCAGCATTCGCAGGTCTAGGGCTGAACAGTGCCCGGCACATACTGGACTCGTGAAATCGGATTTCATCAAGTTGATCAGCACAGTCAGTGCAGTATGAGTACGAATCACCAACAAACAACACCAGGCTGACAGCATTTCTCCAACCCATTGGTGTCGTGTGTTTACCGCCATATTAATCAACAAGTACAGCTGCAGTGGAGTCTTCAACCGCATTGCAAGCTGGTGCAAAATATTGTAGAGTCGTGTAAACCCAAAACTTACGTGAAAAAGATTCTGACATTGTGCACTGGGCATTCACCTGCATAGGGGCAACATCATCATAACCATCAAAATGGAAATGGAATTCATAACTCATATTTGAAATAGTGTTCGCCGAGCATGCAGTATGTAGGGGCAATGTAAGCCTTACGCACATTCTACAGATATACGGAATCCCATAGGAATGTGCATGGCCGGTTGGGTGTTCATTGTGCGCTATATGCGTGTTTGACCAGTTTAAAAGCACAATTATGAATGGACGATGATCGGCTTTCCAGCTTCCAGCAAATGACCAGCTTGATCTTACGAAGAAGAAGAAGAAGAAGAAGAAGAAGAAGAAGAAGAAGAAGAAGAAGAAGAAGAAGAAGAAGAAGAAGAAGAAGAAGAAGAAGAAGAAGAAGAAGAAGAAGAAGAAGAAGAAGAAGAAGAAGAAGAAGAAGAAGAAGAAGAAGAAGAAGAAGAAGAAGAAGAAGAAGAAGAAGAAGAAGAAGAAGAAGAAGAAGAAGAAGAAGAAGAAGAAGAAGAAGAAGAAGAAGAAGAAGAAGAAGAAGAAGAAGAAGAAGAAGAAGAAGAAGAAGAAGAAGAAGAAGAAGAAGAAGAAGAAGAAGAAGAAGAAGAAGAAAAGTCGCATGAAATGCCTTCAGGGCACGGTTCGTAGTGGAAATAGCAGAAACACAATAGGGTCCTACAGTACATTGAACACCTTACCGGGTACACGGAATTCTACAGGATGCCATACCTCTGTAGACTGTGCATCAGGCTTATTGTAATGATATGAGTTTTACTCTCTGGGCACAACCTTCATCAGCCCACTCAACTTGCGGCTCAGGGATGAGTGGCAATTTTTCCAAACTGTATTGAACAGGCTGTGATGCTCTACTTCAGGTTTTAGTATTGACACACATAGAAATATCTGGTTTGAATAGAAGCCTGTTGTGAATAGAAGCCTAGCCCTGACACCAGCTTCTGCAGGAATTAGTCCGGCTTTAATGAATACACGACATTACGGTAGCCACACTAGTTGTCAAAGACCATCTCACCATGCTTGCCTGCAATCATGCAGGGAATAATTTTAAAACCAGTATCGCAGCGCAGTTTGCTATGCAATTCTTCAGAGGTGCGAAGCAACTTCAGATATGTGTCGCAGAAAACTGCGATAACATGCTGATTTTACACTGTACTCGATGATCTACAGGTGTGTCTCTAAGGGATGAAATAGATGCACATAACTTCGAAAGTGCCGAGCTATGCTGCAGTAGGCATCAGGTTAGGTTTGCAACTAAGGTGTTACAGTGTACTTGTGGTCTGAGCTTGCACTCTGATCAGCTCTTCAGAATGACAATGTTGTCAAGTGTTGAAGAAAATTGCTACGCAACGTTTTTGAATTGCTATTTAAGTTTGATTTTGCGTGCAAAAATTAAAAATAGATTATTCCCTGTAATGATTGCATACATGCCAACCTGGAGGCTTCAGTTCCCTGGACAACGACTCGACGAGGCTGAATTCCCTTGATTTTGACCGTTTTCCCTGGACACCAATTTTTTTAGCGCATCCATCATCCAGCATCCAGCATCCATCATTGGCAGACGTATTTTTCATGACCGTGCTGCTCAAGCAAAAGGGATGTCATTGCATTGAGCTGCAACTGCACAAGTAAACTTTCTGTTGACTACCGGTATACCGGCGATCCGTTGCAGTTCCACATGATGTTTTGTATCTACTATGTGCCGCGTGTACTTACAACGTATCTACTAGTTCATTCGAGGAAACACTGAAAAAGTGTCTTTAAAAAAAGGAGAACTTCGATTTCAAAAGTTCCATCTCAATCCTTGGACTTTGGCAGGACATCCCTGGACCCCGGGACAAACACCCTATTCCCTGGACTGTCCTGGGAAACCCTGGACGGTTGGCATGTACATGTACGTGATTGTGAACTTGACAGCATTGATTTAGACAGCTATTTCTCCAGCACTGCTGCTTTTCATTGAACTAACTTTGGACTAAGTACACATGCAGATACAGTAGATCTCCATGCACGTCATGTTTCACAGAGCATTACAGCTGGTGCTGATCTACGATGATCAACATCAGCAAAAAATACCAATCCATTGTGGGGGGGGGGGGGGGGGGTGAACTATCGTTCTTCCAGTTTATTTCAGGGCTACCCAAAGGCTAACGCCTATCGGGGGATCTATTAATTTCGTGTATGTGCTCAGCATTGTAGTTGGAACTAAAGATACACAGTGAAAGAACGGTTCACCGTGGCCCGTGATGAAGATAGCGACCATGAAGGCATACATGTATCATGTGCATTGGCCCAGCTAGTATTCGCAGAACAATACCGGACTGAAGTCACAGTCCAAGACCGGCTTCAGCGCTAGTCTCCCTACTGGCACTGCATGGTCTTACCGTCTAAACGCGGGCCAACAGCTTCAAAATCGAACTCTGACGGTGGCAGCTGCTCGCTGCCCGCATCAAACACTCTGGACGCTCTCTTCGCTTGCTTTCCTGCCAAACTCAACTGACTACTGGATCTGGCGAGTATCTTAGAAACGCGCGACTTCTTTTCCGACATGTTATCCATTGCTGCAGGCAGTGCGGTCAGGCTTCCCACTACAACCGGACGAGGCTAAAGACAGCAGCATGGGCAGCAAGCAGAATCAACTCACCCAGCTTAGACGAAAAAACCGTCGCAAGTCTTCACCTGTTTTCTTGAACTCACCGTGCAGCATTCTGCCATGTTTCCCAAAGCTGTGGAATCCAGGAAAAAAAGAAAATACTCTACTCCGAGTTACTAGTAGTAGCGGTAGCGGTAGGGGGCTTTCAGAGTGCAAGAAGCCGCAACCACGCACTGACTGTACTGAGTCTGTACTCGAACTGTGCCCTCGAGTGGAAAACTAATCCAGCGGATCTCCTCACCGGACAAGAGTGCACGCGCCACTGCATGCCAGACACTGCACTGTACTGGGACATGGTGCATGTGCATACATGACGTCATTGTAGTATTTGTCATGTACATGTAGTGATGTGCAGCCATATACAGCCATACTCTTTTGTCTCGATGACTATCTCACAATGGACAATGGACGTAGATCTACGTGTAGATCCACATGATATGTCTACGTATGGTGTGCACTAGATCTACGCTCTCCACCCACAAGCCATACAACTGGCTACATGCACCGTTGCAACATCCAGTGTCCAGACGGACATACCCGGAACTATAATCATTGCCTTTCCAGACAGCTTACTGATATTTCGGCGGGGTAGATCTACACTGATGCGGCCGGTACGGATAGATCTGATCATCAAGTCGCAAAGAGATTACGCCGCAATATCCGTGCATACTACTCCGGTCACTAGACAGCAATGCGCATAAAGATGGACTTGGATGAGAACCCTCTGTGACCATATAAGGATGACTTTCACTACATGTACATGAGTGTACATGACGATGACTGAGTCTGTACGTCCGCAGTGCAGTAAGTCTAGAACTAGAGAGTAGAGTGAACTGAGAGTGGAGTGGAGAAGCCATGAAACTTAGTAGAAGTCAAGTGGTGCGGAGAGCAGCCTCAGGCTCAGGAGAAGGGCTTGCAGACTGCACCTGTACCACACGCTGGAGTTCAACAGCAGCAACTGAACAGCAGCAACTGAACAGTAGCAACTGAACAACAGCAGCAGCAGCATCAAGAACAACAGCAGCATGGGCCCATCGACACGGTGAATACAGTCAGTACACTGCATGTAGCTACTATTCCAGCATCACAGTGCCTGTCTAGGTCTAGGGGTTGCATTTACAGCAGGCATGCTGCTTGCTGCACGAATGCCCAACACTCCTTAGCAATAACACATGTACTTCCGTCTAGTGGCAACATTCAGACTCCAGACCTAATCCGCTAATGCCACACGAAATGTCCACCCCAGGCTGTACTGAACTGAAACGTACTGACTGGTATTTGTATTTGTATTTTATTATATTTAAGGAATTCCCAAAGGCTTTGGGCCTGTCGAGGGGATCTCCTGCAAGAAGAATGAAATGACAACTTTATGTAGAGGGAGCAGTTAATCGAGGATAGGCTAAAGAAATAGATCGATGCATACAAAATCTGGTAATTAAGGAGTTGGGATACCGTCAGTGTAATGAATATATCGGCGAACATGCTGATAGAGAGAATGCTTGAATTCGGGGAGGCTGGTTATAGAGGTAAGAGAAGGCGGTAGGCAATTCCATATCATTGCAGCTTTGTTGGAAAAAGGTAAAAGTGGTTGTTCATGACGTGGCTCTGTGGGTCCGCGATGCATCATCGATCATTATCTTACAGAGTCATAGACTCATAATCTCTTAGCCGGGCTGTCCGGGATCCCGGACCGGACACTACCCATAACTAATACTTGGAAATATCCGTAACTCCGAATCACGTACACTTTCATGGGGAAGTACCTGAAGTCACTATTGCCACACAATGGGCATAAGTGTAGTAATATTTCCACTAAAACTCGGCCACAGGGTGCCCAGTACTCAGTAGACCGGGGACCCGTGTAAAAGAGATACCGGTATATGTATATGTTGTACAACTAAGTAGTTAAGTACTTATGAGTGTAGTTGTAAGATGCTAGCTTTGAGTCTGCTTTGAACATTTATATTGATATTAAGCAATGAAATGACAAATTTTACAAGTACATGTACATTCAAGATTCATGATGTTTACCTACTAGCCTACCACTCGATCGTGTAGACTACTCGTCACACGCCGTAGGGACCGGCGGATTCTGCTCGTAAAGGTGGCAGATTCTGCTCGAAAAGCAGTGAAATTGGCAGAACCATACAAACCTTATGGCGGGCAATTCCTCGAATTCTGCTCCATTTCTTTATCCACATACCAAACATGCATGAAACGTACCAGAAAAAGTACCGAATTCTGCCAATTTTTCTGCCGGTAGAATCCGCCGGACCCTATGACACACGGGATACAATGCAGTACGTAACCTCGTTGTATCACACGGGATACAATGCAGTACGTAACCTCGTTGTATCACACGGGATACAATGCAGTACGTAACCTCGTTGTATCACTATCAGGTGTGGCGAGTAGTCTTTTCATTATTATACAGTCATGTACTAGTACATGTACATGTAAATGTACATTTAATATAATTATTCAGTTGCAATTAAATAAAGGTTTTGACTGGAAGTGGTAACCGGTAGTACCTGAATACATTGACAATCGTTAGTAGTCCTGTACGATCGTACGAGCGTGCCGGCTGGCTCTAGTATACAATGTACATCTGCTGGCTGAAGACGACTTTGTCCAAGTACAGTGTTACTGTATCTCCAGTTGCAGGTCGTCTGAACATGTCCTTGCCATTTTTAGTGTAGGCTTACTTTTGCTACTGCTTCAGCGACACTCCCAGATTAGTACATGAACATAGCATACAATCAGTCCATGAGTCAAAACAACAATAGTCCACAACTTCCACGTTCCATGACATTTCAGGAAATGATCAGGTCACGAGTACGAAGAACTATGAATACCAGCAAACAGAACACACTATTAGAAATCTCTGTGCTGAGGAGAATACACTAGTATTAGAAAGCTCTGTGCTGAGGAGAACACACTATTAGAAAGCTCTGTGCTGAGGAGAATACAGTGTACCGAAGGTGGCACTACAAGATGCTGCTAGCAGCTCATACTCGTTGTAGCGTTAAATCCCCAGCCAGCAGGTCACCGCCAAATCAATGAAATAATAGCACTAGCAGCAGCAAAGAGTGACTTACTGGCCCTGTGTGCCTAGCGCATATCCGCCATATAATCAACACCTTTACTATACCAAGAGCAAATGACTGGTTATGTACCGTCTTGCTGATAAAAGAGACGTGTGAAAGGATGAATCAGCATTATGATTGCCACATTTCGAAGTGAACTCAGCAAAATGAGTTGTGCACGTCTGATGACCTAAGGCAATGATCAAGGCAAGTGATTCTCCTTCATCCTCACCCGCTATCACCATGGAGACGTCCTTGTAATGGAATGTATACCTATGTCTAGGCATGGGCGGGTAATGCTAGTTATTTGCTGCGATAATGCTAAAGGCAATGCTCATAATAATTATGAGGATATAGTGCCACTTATAATGCTCACACTACTCCATAATGCCAGTTTGAAAGGTAGAAAAGTCGATTTTTAAAAGAAGGCCGTCTTGGATCAAGGCCAAAGCGTAGAAGAAAACACTTAAAACAGCATTGAGCATGTTGTCTGAAACAATCCACTGAGAAGGTTGATTTGCAACGTCAAGTCTCCGGACGAAGCCGGACGGGTTCAGATGCAGCACGATTTTCGGAACTGTACCTAGCCAGCTTCATGCATGACACCGTTGTCGATCGGCATTTATGCTTGTGATGCCAATTTTGCATGCGAAATGGTGTTATAATGCCAGCATTATGCCACCTGGAAAAAAGGGACTATAATGCCAGCCATATTGCTTGCATTACCCGCCCAAGCCTACCTATCGTATGTCTTTGTCAGTTCATCAGTACACCATGGTACACCTCATTAGCACTTGACTCGAGGCAAATCTTGGGTTCTGCAGGAGAATGTTTCATTTTGCTTGGAAAATTAGTGATTCTGATTGCCACCAGAACACTGAGCAGCGAACATCGCTGCGACTTTGAAATATTCACAGATAGATTTTCGTCCTTTCCACTCATGTAGATACATGAAGTCATTAGACACCCTTTGCAAACAACGGTAACGCTATTTTTTACGGTACTCGCACCTTGATCACCCAAATAGCGTTGAAGCTGCAGCGTATAAACGTTATGGGGGCTGATTTATCGTTGTGACCAACGGTACGTGTTTTAGCCAAATATTGCCTAGTCCGTACGCATTTCACCTTGTATCGCGTATATGGTGAAAAAATGGTTGTACCGCGCGAAATCAAAGCTATTCTCGTGGCAACAGCGTACTAAAAATAGCGTGCATCTTGCTAAAGGTCGAACCCAAATCACGGTATTTTCCCCCTTACGATAATACCGTTACAACATAACGTTGTTTGCTAAGGGTGTCTAATGATTGTGAAAACCCTCTTGTACTATCTTTATCGTACCATTGTTACTTGCATAAAATAAATACTATAGAAAAGAAAAGGACCAAGGAACTGCAAGTTAGTTACGCTATAATGTCCACTAGCACCATCGGTTACTAAACAATCAGCTCATATTATACATGACTTGTACATTTATCGCCTCGTACTTGATGTATTTTTTACAGCAGTGCATATTATTGAGTTTACGTTATTCACTTTGAGCCCCTGAGCCTTGATCGCATTATGATCACTACCTTGACTGATATTATCACACAGATAATGGGATTATACTCATCATTATAGTTATACGTTCAATCGAATACTCAATTAATTATTATTTTTGCATTTGCTGACTGTTACAGAATTTCACGTACGTCAAATATGCAGAGCATAGGCTTTCACGTATGCAGAACATGGCCGTGACGGCAAGTTCTGACCCGCTGGGTGTTTGTGCAACACCTTTGGAAGACTCTAAACTGCCCCGTCTTGTTTTTGAGTGAACCTCCAGCCAACATGATATTACTTTCACATCAGGGTGTTCTATTATTTGCCCCCGTTTGAGAGGCAACAACATGTTGATCTCTCACCTGGTTGCCCCAACGGGGCCGGGGTTGTGGGGGGGGGGGGGGGTAGCAATAGTCACCGAGTGTGGTCTCAGTGTTGACAGACTTTGAGCATTTTTCACCTTGCATGGACACTGACCTATCACAACTCAGAGTCACCGCCATTAGATCTATCACCTCGAGTCTCGGAACAA